AAATTGTGATCAATTTTCAGTGTAGAATCTATAGGGCAATTGTAGTCAAAATGTAGCTTAGAATCTAGGGAAATTCTGAGAGCTTTTCATATACCTCACCATTAATTTCTTAAGCTATTTCACGATTTTTGAAGTACATTTCGTCCACTCTAGCAATTTTTCTTCATGCTAGTGATTGTTGGAGCTTGTAAAACCAATAATAATAATTTTCATAATTTCCAAAAACTTTCATATCAAATAAATTTTCTTACACTATGCAACGTTTCTATACACTTTCTCTCACCATCACCGAAAATGAACTCGAGTAAGGGTAATCAGCGCACCTTCATAGGAAGGCGAAACGTACACGTAGAGGTGCCGGGGTGGCAGTTAATAGGAACAAAGCGGGAGGGTATTGATTAAAAAAGGAATGATCAAAGTTTTTCAAGCGAGATGCCGTCACGAAAGTGGGAAATCGGCTGCAAGAACTCTTAACGTCGACGACAAAAACACCCCTCTGCTGAGTTTGCTACTAACGTTTAACCTAATTGTTTGAATGGAGGCGCTTTTTGTTACACAGTCGCGAGGCGCTCCGACGAGATGGGGATAGTCGAATGTAAAGCTTAGGAAAATATCCATTTATTAGGTAATGTACAGCGTTTAGTATTAACGTTTATTAGTTTTATCGTACCTACACAAAAGAGTGATTAAAAAAATATTGTATGTTGAGGTAAAAATAACAACCTGGCAACATTGTATGACATATAAAAAATCTGTAAAAATCACAAAATAGTTAGTCAAAATTCATAATCAAAGCTGCAACTACCAGCTTCACATTCGTAATAACAAACATCTCCTTACTCAACTCAAAATCTCATCCAAAATCTCTAGTAAATCATCAAATTGTGGTATCTAAAAAATTCCCCATACCGCGCAGCTCATTAATTCTAACCGTGTTTACCCCGCCGAAACACTCGAACTCAAATCCAGCCGCGAGGCGAAGGAACGAGTTCGAAAACGCAATGCATTTTCGCCATCCGCGTAATTCGCTTTAGATTCGCATTTCCGAGCCATTATGAATATCATCGCCTTCGCAAATTGAACGCTCGCGCTATTTGCCTTGCAAACTATTCCTTATACGCCCGGGTTAATCCCGGGCAAAAATTCCGTTTGATTGTCGATGATAATTGCGCCTTTTAAACGTAAACGAATGTTTCGTTGTAGCGACTTCGCGAGGGCTGCCCGAGCGATGGGGAGTTTAAATAGAGTTCGCCCGGATTATATGTCGCGCTTTCGCTGGAAACTAAAGTTTCCGAGATATTTCATACCGGTTCTCTTTGCGCTTTGCTTCTTATATTACAGTAGGTACCTTTTTCAGGGCATTGTGCGACTCCGGTTACTTTAACTTACTAACTTAGAACTGCAACTTTCTTTAGTGTTTTATATTGTACCTTGTGTACGCGTTGGTAGAAATAAAGGGAATTACTTTGTGTTTATGTTATAACTTTATACTCGTTTTTGTTGCTATTTATTCCTCATAATATGAATGCTTAATTGTAGATATTTTGTATAAAGTTGTTGTATTTTTTTGTCTCTTAGCCATTACTGGAAGTTATGTAGTTGCAGCTCCAAGCCACTTTCAACCTTAGAGAGTCAATTAATAACCCTGGAGAGTCAATCATCAGGTCAAGAGGATCGATCATCAACCCAAGAAAGTCAATCCTCATCAGCTCTACCTATTAATCCAATTAATATCTCACTCAATCGATTCTACGTTAGTTTTGCGTGCAATTAAAGCCAATAAGGGCGATAAATTTGGCGTATTCAGAACTCAGAACCGGCTCTCTCTATGTACATAAAGAGCGGAATATCCGGCTCGCTCCGGGTTATATTAAAACAGTTATACCGAAATGGCGAGCCCTATTGGGATCGTCGTTACGTCGATGGCTCTAGATTTGTGGTTTATTATCATTTAATTGTCCAA